TTGAAAATGCAAAAAAGAGTCTGCAATCAAATTCGAAAAGAAGTCTGGAACAAAAGATGTAAAAAGGTAATCGAATGGGAATGAAAACAAGAAATCAGTAATGAAGACAAGATGAAAAGACATTCTTGTCTTTCAGGCCAGAAAACTATATTCCAGAAGAAAAAAAATCTATTACCTGAAGAAGAAAACTTTGAAGATGAAAGCCTACGAGAAATTCTAACAAGAAGAGTAGAGTATGGAATGAAATGGTTGGGTTTTAAGCTCTATCAGAACCTCACAGAGTGATCTACAGTAGTGACCTGTAAGCAATGAAGTTAACAGTTGAAAGGGTCTTTACCTGAACTTCTAATGAAGCAATAAATCACTCTCGAAGTTGCACTTAGAGTTTTAATAATTCTTAAAATATAGACGAGTGAGTTAGATAGAAACTTAGCTTTAGCAATACATTTTTAATATAAAGTATACATATGTTTAATAAAGTATGCATACCTAGCCTAACAGAGGATTTAAAAAAAAAAAAAAAAACTATATATATAATATATTGTATAATTAAATGATTTTTAATCAAACTCTTTTTACTAATTCTCTGACTATACATAAAAAAATATTCATTAGTAAAAAAAATAAACAAGTTTCTATTGGTCATCTCACATATTTAAATATATTTTCTCAGCTCCATAAGAACCTGAGATCTATTATATGTTATTATGCCTGATGTTAATAAATAAGAACACTATTAACTACTACATTTTTGACTAAATAAAAGAAAAAGAGTATACTTACACTTCTCCTCTATCAAAAAAAAAGAAGAAAGACAAGACTCAAAAAAATATAGAATGAAAATAATACTTTAAAAGTGCCATATTTATTTTTTATTAGTATAAATATTGAGAGATCAAGTAGATCTTAAAATCATTTGCATCTAATCAATAATATCAATATACAGTTGAATGATCTCAAGTAACTAAAGAATATGTCACAATGGGATATTAGACAATGGTTTAATATTTACAGATAGCAATATTTTGGGAAAAACAGTATAATATTTATTAAGTTCAACAAAATACATACCAGAAGTATCAAGATTCTTCTTTCTAGACTGGAATTATTGCAATGATAAAGAAGAATAGATTGTTAAATAATGGACCACCAACTATCCCAGTGCTTATTTACTTTCTTCTATATCCTAGAGCCTTCCAAAATTCTTGACTTATTATAACTCAGAAGAATATCAGTATAAGATTTCATATTGAATAGAGTATAGAAGAAAAAGATAAAGAACTAGTAGACAAGAACTATAACATAAAGGTACTGAAAGTAGCAAAGGAATAAGAATTGCATTTTTAATTAATAAAACCTTCAAAGAGTAACCAGCCCATAGTATCAATATGATAGTTGTAGCTAATGATGGGTTCCTAAAGTATTTAGTATATAAAATTTCGCAGATCAATTATATCTTTTTTTGAGGAACAAAATTCATGGCTCTTCACTTTAATAGGAACAAAAGTCAGGAAATGTTATAAATCAATGATTTAGATAATAGAGAACAATTATGGGTAGTTTTTTTATAGTTATTTATTTAAAAATTTTAATGTTTCCTAATGAGGAATATATAACTTATGTCCCTGCCTCCCTTTTTAGGAACCCATCTTTAGTTGTAGCATATTTTCAAGTTATCCATAATTAAACTATTTCCCTTCTTCCTTCTGATATCTTTTTTATAATGTAGAATCTTTATATTTATTTAAATTTATACAATTTTAACTTCATTTTTCTTCTCTAAATAAAGATGGCAAAATAAAATATCGAACACAATTCTTCTAATCTCCTCTCTGGATTAAGATAGATAAATCAAATTCGATACACATATCAACCCCTCTTAAAATTTTTTCATTGCCCAAATAACTTTTTCATTAAGTCTCTGTTTGAAGATAATTCAGCTATAAAGTAGTTTTTTAACCTATTATTAGTTTATTAGCTTGTTATTGTTTTTTTCTAATCAGATGTACCTATATAATAAAACTTTGTTAATAAACTTGGTCAAGCTAGCTTTTTTTAAAAAATATATATTATATAATCAAATTTAATTATTTAAATTTTATTAAACCAATATTATAACAAATATTTATTTATATGATTTATTTAAACTAAAAATAAATAAATAAATAAATAATGAATACTCTTTCTACTGATCTTTTGACTACACATAAAAAAGATGTTTGCAAAAAAATTTTTATTTCTTTGCTGATAAAGTCTTAATACTATCCTTAAAACAATTTGAAGTTCTACTTCAAGAAATATTCCTATATACTCTTTCTTGTTTATATTTATTTTCAAACAAAAACTTGTTTTTCTGTGACTTAGAAAAGTCAAGAAACACCTTCTCTACCAATGATAAGAAATTTTTACAAGAAAGTAAAACTAATAGTATAGTACTTGAAGCCTTTCATATTGAAGCATATCTAAAGAGATTCTTTATAATGGAAGATGATGAACATCAAGCCATATTTCAAGATGTTTGACCATTGTAGCTTCTCTCTTTTAGTCACCCAAAAATTTTAGTTTTCTGGAAAATTTTGCATACCTCAGTTTGACCTTGAATTTTAGGTGATACAACCTATTGTAAAATATGATTGGTGGATATGAAACACATTAGTAGTTGAATATAAACAAGTTTCTACTGGTTACTTTATGTGTTTCAATGATGTCATTGATGAAAGAAAGAGAATCTATTGGTGTGAATTCTCCACTCCTCCAAATGAAATGTAATTGAAACAAAGAAATAATGAGACTATTATAACATGCACTAAATTCTTTAGATAATGAAAAGATGGTTATTTGTTCAAGCTGAAGCCTTTAACTTCTTATTATCCCAGTCAAGCGAAATATGCGAAGGAGATTATTTTCTTATCTCGATCAGGCAATAAGACTGAAAAGCAGAAGAATGTGAGTTATTACCCTTCTCTAGGATTGAGAATGCATTTTTTCAGACATTGTGTAATGATATCGTAATCAACAAGAATCTTTATATACTGTGAGATCCTCCTACCATTGCAAGACAAAAAGATTGTTGGGGAATCTAACTTTTTGAGCAATGGAAGATGCTTACTAGTAAAATTCCTTTAACTAGACGTAGCTTTTGAAAGATATTGGTAATTATACAATAAGGCTAAAAGGCTACATAAGAACCTGGGATCCATCATAAGTTGTTAACTGACATGAATAAATACAAAATCAATATCAAAAGAAAGGAAGCAATGAGTAAGACACTGGATCTGAGTAGGTGATAAGTACTTCAGATAGTTGCAAGAAAATAATCAAGATTATGAATAGATAAGTTCCTTAGATGATCAGAAAGAAGAAGAATATTTCAAAAGGATTGGTTCCTAATGAGAGGAGGTTTTTAGCAGAAGTCCTTTAGAAGACATGGAACATGGATGGGTAAGTGAATAGAGAGGTAAATAGAGAGATAGGTAAGTGAACAGAAGAATAAACAGAAAGATGAATGGATAGATGGGTAAATAAATAGAGAGGTGAAAGGATGGGTGGGTGGATAAATAAATAGAAGAGTATGTATGTGAACGGATGAATATATTTTTGATTCGATTTTAGTCTTCAAACTTAAAATCGAACTAAAATTATGACCCCCGATTATAATCATTGAATATAACTAATTGGTGTTAGATCAAAGTTGCATTTATCAAGAGTTGACCGTAATCATGATTTAATAAATCTATTTACAATATTCGAAATCTATGCAAGAACCATCAGTACATAAATATTGCCATCAAATTATGTGAGTTTATAATTCTGGTGTGATTTTTTTTTCTATTGATAAACATACTGTACCTTTATATTTAAAACATAAAAAAATGTAATAAAGCACAACAGAAATACGGAGGAAAAGGTTAACATATTTACACTAGTGATTGATTATAATGATGGCAGACAATTAGCATCAAAAATTGATAGTCTAAAACTGATTAAAAAACTTGCGAATCAAGCTAGAGCAGTCGATGAAATAAAAAATGATGATTCATCTCACAATAGGTCTACAAATGACATGATGACAATGAATTTAACTCTAAGGATTGTGAAGAATGGTGCTAATAAATTTAACTCTAAGGGTTGTGAATAATGGTGTTATCGTGACAATGATGTTATGCCATGTTAATTTTTAGACAGAATATACTGTAGAAATTGGATTGCTGTAATATAGTCATTAAAATAAAAGTTGTTTACAAAGTATGATGGAATATACTGTAAATGCTAAACCTTTTTCCCTTAACGTCATGAGTATTTACACGTGGGAAGAAATTGCATTCAAACATGGGAACTAATAATTTCTGGTTTTTCCGAAGAACTCGCGTTTCCCATCCTCTCTTTTTTATAACCACCATTGAATTCAGATCTACTCTGCATTAATTGATTATTTTCCTACAGTCTCTCTCTGACACTTTTAGAAAGCAAAAAAGGGTAAAGCGCGAAAGCGACGTGCAAGTAATATATTCGCAAACATTAATTACAGTAAGAGAATTAATCTTACTTATTTGGAAATATCATTTCGAGCGTATAACAATCATCCTTGTATGAAAAATTGAAAGGTAGACGAATGATGGATGGTAAACAATTGATCGAGCTTTTTGGTGACTTTGTGAGCTCTCAAGATAATGACGGAAAGGCTCGCGACACTCTCTTTGGAGGTTGCCTTAAGGCGTCAACTCGAGAGCTCTATGATTTTTTTAATGAGCTCTCGGACCTTCTGCCCCATTCTCTCGACACTCGCCTTCCGGCTTTGATAGATTACCTTTCTTACCTTTGTAATCGAACTGCTTCAACTTCTGATTTTGCCTCCATTCTAATTAATACCGTCATCGTGCGTAATTTGCGCTACTTTGATACCTCCGATTTCGGAGAGCTCCTATATTACTGCATCGAGCTCCTCTGGCGGACTTGTGACAAGAAGATCGCCATCCAAGTAACAAGCCGTCTGTTTGGTGCAATTCTAGATGCCCATGGTGTCATCGGTATTTTGGTATCAGAAGCTTTTGGTCGTCACTGTCTCAAGCGTGTCCTGTTTGATTTCAACATGATTAATCGGATTGAGAGTGACGAGTTGCTTAGGGTCGCGGACGTGATTGTATCTCTTGTGGACAATTGTTCTGTACACGCGAATGCTCCATCTCGGCCATCAGAGGGACTTTTCATGTACAAGGCTTGCACTGAACTATCGGAAACACTGATCAGTTACCAGAGTGCTGAACGCGCCATTCTAAACGCAAAAAAGAATTTGGTCCTGCCAACATTACAGAAAATGGTTAAGCATAAAAAAGAAGACAGCAATCAAAAACAAGACTGGAATAGAAAACAAGACACTCGTAACTCGGTGGTTGTCAAGGATTTACCGCCTTTTTCAACTCGAGATGAGCAACACCTCTCTTTGTTAGGAATGACAGCTCCTCGGAAGCCATCAGAGTTAACGAACTTTTTGCGAGCTCTTGAACAACGGAAGATAAATTTACTCGGAGTAAGGGATTTTATTCTTTCTCACTTTGCTTCAACATAATAAAATCTTGGATTTAGGATAATCCGTAAACTGACAAGCCCTTTCAATCTTTCTTAGGATCTGATGAAGTTCTTGCCGTGCTCAAGCTGTCACAATCAAGCTCTTGTATATTTCTCCCCTGAAAAATATTCCATTGAGGAGGAATCGATGGATTACACATCATTCGAAAACCTTTTCCGACTTCCATTCGAATTTAGCGATGATGATAAGCTTGGACCGTGGGATGTTCTGCTCAGTGAAGACGCGGTTGAAGATATGCGGCAATTGGAGACACCTCTTACGACCAAAGCAGTTATGAATAAACTTGGGCAGATATCGTCCGGGGAGTGGGATCGACACAGGCTCAGATGTACGGTTGCCAATACTTCAAGCAGTAATTCTGTAAATGTCTACGAAATACTACTTCCTGAACAAGGTGAACTGAGAATTCTCTGGCAGGTTGACCGCGGGTTCTCTACTCGCAGCCACTCATTCATGCAGCTAGTGAGAATATGGGCCGTTACTGCTAACCAAGAACAGATCTGCGAGACTTTAAGTAATCTTGAGATGGTTCACCAGGTCTATACCCCTGCACACATTCAACAGTGTGCGACGGGCAACAATGAAATTGTTCTTCCTAAAGTTTGTGAGGATGACGAGGTAAAGTCTACTGACGACAGGCTGTGCGACCAACAGGCAGATGATGAAAGACTGCTAAAGGTTCACAAGATGCTCGTTACAAATAAATTTATTCCCTTGTCAAAGGTATAATATAGTTATCATATCTTATGATAAAATGTGGGAACGTTTTGAAATAAATTTGACAATCTTGCATGCAGAATTTGTTCAAGTCACTCGTCCTCGGAGGATCTGGCTTCACCTTCCAAGTGTCTAAAACTGAGTATGAAATCATCAACTATCCTACATCGGCTGTTATCGTTGGTCGATCGGGTTGGTATATTGACCCCGAGGATGCTTCTAGACTGTGAAAATCCTCACTACTTCCTTACAATTTAACTATTGAAAGGTCTGAAATTTATTTTTGCTTTACATCAATTGCGTAGGAACGGGGAAAACAACGTGCATCATCTTTAGGCTGATTTCTTCTTACTTGAAAGAACTCAGTTGCAAAATATATGAGACTCCCTCCTCGCATCATAGAAGACAAATGTTTATCACCGTTAGCCCCACTCTGTGCCTTCGGGTGAAGCAATATTTTAACCAATTGCGAAGATCAGCGGAACTTGCTGGCAAAAAGATGTCATTAACCCAGTTTTATGAGTACATGAGGGAGAAAGAGGAAAATGGTGATCTCGATCATTCGGATAACGAGTTGATCGAAGAAGGTAATGAGGAAAAGGTGTTGGGAGATATCCCGAATTCATTTGATCAGTTGTCGGATCACCATTTTCCGCTGTTTATCACATATGGAAAGTTTTCCAAAATGCTCGAGGGAACCTATGGCATTGATGTTTCCAAGCTATGGACGTCCAAACTGCAAAAATTTATTACGGATAATGAAGGCGACGAATTTATTCCTCCCAAAATTTCTTTTACCGATACGTCTGATGAGTCGTGGAGACATTTTGTGGACTTTCGTCTCTTCCAAAGAAAGTATTGGCCCCATCTTAGTCAAAAAAATTTAGACTGCGCCCTGGTTTACTCAGAATTTTCCATTATCAAAGTAGGTAGCTGTGTATAAATCATTCTATAAAAAATTGTTTATCTTTTTTTTCAATAAAACTCTCTCCAGGGTTCGAATCCTAATGTGGACCATTTATCAAGAGAGGATTATCGGGCCGTCAACATTAAAAAATTCCCAATCTTTTACGACCGTGATATGATTTATGATATATTTGAGCGATACGAACGCATGAAAACATTGAATCACGATTATGATTTGATGGATCGGTAGGACTCAAGGATAGTACTGTAAATTATTATTATCAATGAATTTCTTTAAAACTCATTTTATTCTTCGTAGAACACTAGCTGTCTTACGTTGTGCCAGAAAGAAGGCACTAGGTGGCCATCAAGTTCACGAAATATATGTCGATGAATGTCAGGACAATCATGTTGTGGATATCGCGCTTGTTTTGAAGCTCTTTAAACGCTCCGACAGTGTTTTCTTAGCAGGTGATACAGCTCAATGCATTGCCCGTGGATCTTCTTTCCGTTTTCGAGGTATGTACATGTCCCATTTAATAGTCAAAAGTTTGACCTTGTTAATCTCTAAAGGTTTCTAATAATTTGACTGTAGATGTAAGTCAACTGCTCTACCAATGGGAGCTCAGTCGGACCCAAGCTAATAATAAGCCTTACAGGTTTATAAAACCAAAACAATTTGAGCTTAATAATAACTACCGTTCTCACAACGGAATTCTCCGACTCGCTGCATCGGTGATCGACCTCATCTGTTACTTTTTTCCCGATTCCATCGATCGAATGCCCCGTGAGATGGGTGAGGTTGGCGGTCCGCGACCTATCATTTTTGAGGGATTTCATGCTGAAAAATTCCACTTTAGTGCCTTCTCTGCTGGTAGTCATTCTGAAAATCAAATTGAATTCGGCGCGGATCAGGTCATTATCGTACGTGATGATGAAACCAAACAACGTGTAAGGACACAAATCGGAAAAGTTGGTTTGGTGCTGACAGTCTTTGAGGCAAAGGGCATGGAGTTCAACGACGTGCTCTTGTATAATTTTTTCACCGATTCTCCCGCGCGCCTAAAGGTACGTCGGCGAAATAATTCATTCTAACTCATTACGAAAGAGTCGTACACTAAAAGTTGCTTATTCGTTACATCACTGTTCTTCAGTGGCGAGTGATTCTCGCTGCCTTAAATAACTATACAGGGGGAGTCCAGACCTTCTCTATAGAAAAGCATTACATAATTTCCTCAGAACTAAAACACCTTTATGTTGCGGTGACCAGGGCCCGGGAGCGAATCTGGATATTCGACGAGAATGATGAGTGGAGTGAGCCAATCCGAACATATTGGAAGTATCACGGTCTGGTCAAGGTTGTCAAGAGTGAAGACGAAGTCTCTGTTTTCCCTAACTTGGCCAAGAAGAGTAGCATACGCGAATGGAACAAACGGGGAAAAAGTTTCTTCGAACAGCGGTTGTATGATCAGGTTTGTAAATATATCTGATTTTGAGCTACGGTCCAATAACGGGCTAAATTAAATGAGCATTATCATTAGGCTGTTTTCTGTTTTGAAAAATGTGGAAACAAAGAGAAAGTCGATCTGTCCAACGCCTATTATCTTCAACAAATTGCCAGAGACTCAATAT